AGTTTTACATTTAGAATACTGTTGCCACCATGTAATGCTTAAATGTAAAAAAAACACTACTAATTTAATAACACTGTAAAATGTCATCTTTAACAAATCTAAAAATGAATATTAATTTCATACTGTACATTATAATGTTATAATGCTGAAATGTAATAGTGACATTTAATTTTAGTTTTTAAATATTTATTTTTAATTTTAGCAATGTAAATAATGTAAAAAAATTATAATTTTAGAAATGTATATTTAGTTAAAAATAATAATTTATTATAAAAATAATAAAAAGATAATTCAATTCTAAATTTAGATGAAATGTTACAATTTCTCTACTACCAGCCATTTATTGGTTATTGTTCATAATAAAAAAATAATAACAATTATAATGATTATTATTGGCTTATCGTATCTGCCAGGATTTTTATATTGGTGTATCTCTAGTTGCTATGTGGTTGCTATAGGGTGTTTTGGGTGGTTCCTGTTCCAAGTCAAAACTGTCTATGATGTTCAGGTTACTCCTATTTTAATTTCTGTATCATGCCTCAGAATATTAGTTCATATCATCTTCATAAACAAATCTTCATGAACAAGCTATACATTTCCCTTTTAGCCCTGAGGCCAAACATTTAACCAATAAACATACTGCAAGGCTAATGTAGAAAATCTGTGTATGTGGATGACCTGATAAGTAGAAATGAGATCCTGCGATGGCATTTGATATGTGAGGGAACATTAATGGAGGGCCACGCATTACTATAACTAGGGGTAGAATGAACATTAATGGTGTAAAGGTGCATCTAGGAGGTCAAAGGCTGGGATATATACGAGTAGCAAAGTTGAAAGGTGAGACCCCAGGAAGATGCAAATCTCCCAGAGGGTGTCCACAAATCTCTGCAGTTTCCCCGGGGACTCGTTTAGGTGTGAAGCAGCCATGGGCAGATGGATCAACTGGGCCGGTGTATCTGTGAAACTCGCTCATTATAGGCTCGGCTGACTGTGATAACCTGATCGGTTTAACAGTTTCTCTTATAACGACTGAGGTTTTGATTTGGAAACAGGGAGGGGGTGATTCTAGACCAGTATGAAAGGGCAACTATTTACAGGCTCCAATGACTGTGATGTTCTGCGAAGGTCCTTAAGACAGCAGCTCACAGAGAGATGGTTAAGACATATCCAGTTACACCAATAAGCCCTATCCTCCACATAAAGCAAGCAGCCATGACCAGTCACACATTAGCCATCATTACTGTGAGTGCACGTGTGTGAAGGAGGGGCGTATTACCAGTCAGCATGCTGGCAGTATGTGCGCGTTGGGGGTGAATGCACTAGATGTGATGCGTGAGGCCTCTGACAGCTTTAGATTCAAAAAGCATATGTACTGCATGTATGTCTAATTACCCATCACACAGCATATGAGTGCAAGCTACAGCAGTGTGTGTGTGTGTGTGTGTGTGTGTGAGTGAGTGTGTGTGTGTGAGTGAGTGAGACAGCCATACAGAGGCATTGTGCGTGTGCTTGTGTATTCACCAGCGTGTACTTTGTAGACGACTATCTGAGAGTGTGATGTGGATTAAAGAAGTAATTGGCAGAATCTAGGCCTATGTACTGTCATGTCCCGGCAGGCTGTTTAGTATTGCAGTGTGTTTGCCGTGATCTGAGAGTCTGTTTCCAGGCCTGATCCTCCTCTTCCACCCTCTCTGACTATCTGAGCTTCAATTGATTCTGTCTGCTTCTTCTATCCGCTCACTGGTCAATTTGCAGTTCAACCTGAATAATCTTGAATTGTACTTTTTTTATATGAAGCTTTCTGTGAGGATGTTGGAGATGGTCACATCTGAAATCCAAAAACTGGGAGTTCAAAATGTAAACCAGGACGAAGAGGAGGGTGTTCGGTTTAATGCTTTCGCAGGCGGATACATTGCACGGTATTATAGGATAAGTCGACCTTATGTTGGGCCGTGGCGGTGTAGATCGCGGGCGCCCCCTTTCGGTCGCTATTGCAACTGCGGACTTTCCTAGAGGTACAGATTGAGGGAAGGGAAGTAACCAGTTGCGTGAAAAACTAAAAGATAGCTTAAATGACAACAGCCGTACAGTGATTTTTCAGGTAAAAACAGTAAAAATCGATGCGTTTTGACACTTTTTAAAAACATTTTATAACACTGATAGAGGAGAAAAAAATAAACTCCTCTATTTAGGCATCGTAAGGAGGTTAATGGCATGTGCGAGATTTCTGGAAAGGAAAAATACCCGGATTGAGGCCAGAGAGAATACATTCGGTTGGAGGAAAAGTGAGCAAACTGTGAAAAGACCCGCCTCCGCCACGTCTGAACGTGCTCTGTCAGTTCCTTTCAGCTCAAAGCCCACCGAAGAAGCCGGAGGAAAGAAGGAAGCTTTAATTAATTAACGGTACAAGCAAACAAGGAACTTTTTCACTGTGTTTTTCGCCCCTTAGTTCTCCGAGCAGACGGAACAGCTGCGCTCGCTCAGCAAGCGCACAAATCAACATCTACTGTTCCGCCTGTATAATATCCCCCAACGTCTGCTGTTATTTAAGGGGTTTGTTTATTCTGTCTTTCTGTGATCTCTCGGATATAAAGCGAAATTTCCGGAGGACGCTGTTCGGTCTATGGTTTAGATTTAAGAGGATTGTAACGTTTATTTTTGTGATGTATATAGCCGTGAAGACGCCTGGTCACTATTTAATAATTAAAAAAAAAGAAAACATTGTGTCTGAAGAGCCTTATAAAAAAAAAATGACCATGGTAACCATACTTTCCGCCTACTACAGTTGTTACTACTGTACAATTTCAATGAAATTTGTAATTCATTGTAATCATTGTATGGTTTGTTTTATGACAGGGACATCAAAGTTTTATCATAGTTACTATGGTATTTTGGAGTAAACTCTGGTTACCACAGTCATTTTTAAAGGCAGCTGAGAATTATTTTATTTTTTCCTTAAAATTATTGTTGTTCTATGAGATGGATTGTGGCTTGGATCCTGCGGCCTTGCGCTGAGGTTCCTGAAGCATCCAGAAGCAAGGCACTGCTACTGTAAAATTGGTATAGATAGGTAAACAGTGTTTGAAGGTATGCCAATAATATAATTAAATGCAATAAATTAAAATAAAACTATTTTGGAGACTCTACAAGAGGCTGCTGTCTTGAGGCCTCACAGGACAATTAAATCATACAATTAAACATCAATTAGTATTTGTAAAGATAGATGCTGTGTACAAGGTGTGTACTAGGATGGGACTGGTTTTTATCCTTTGAAAATTTACTAGAATTGTGAAAAGTGGATGTTACATACCAGAATTATAGGTGCTGTTTGTAATTTTTTGACTGTGCTAAAGCATAAAAATACCATAATATGTTTGTAGATATATAGGAAACATGCTAAGTTCACATATTTATTTCTCCGAAAAGCAATGCTGCAGCCATATATTCTACACTGAAATGTGTGTTCAGTGTCGGAATGTCTGTTTTTGTTTTGGTCTGTGTGATTCCGGCCACTGCCAATTTACCCAATACTATTTCAACACCTTAGGTTCCCATTTGGCGGAAAACTCAGCGTCTGACTGGGTCAGAGATCGCAGATTCTACCTGACCTAAAAAGCCTTGGCTCACCAACTTGCAGTGCAAGGCTTGGCGCCATCCGTTATCAATTGCACTCGTTCCTGTTGCATGTCCTCGGTCTGGCAACCTGCGTGAGCTTCGAGTCTGAGCAGGAGGGGGCGGGAGAAACAACACTCTCAAATATTTGAGACAGGGGTAGCTGCAGGTCAGAGTAATGGGCGTGGCAAAAGGTGGCATGCCGAAAGCTGAATGCTACAACAGAAAATAACCCCTAACCCTAACAAATTAGAAAGACCTTTATCCTTTACCTCTAGCAATGTAATATACTTAGCATTTGTTGAATGATATTTCAATATTTCTCTTATTTTTTTTCTCTCCAGTTCTGCAATGGTGCCCACCTTTCCTGTTCCTCTCCCCAGAATTATAGGTGCTGTTTGTAATTTTTTGACTGTGCTAAAGCATAAAAATACCATAATATGTTTGTAGATATATAGGAAACATGCTAAGTTCACATATTTATTTCTCCGAAAAGCAATGCTGCAGCCATATATTCTACACTGAAATGTGTGTTCAGTGTCGGAATGTCTGTTTTTGTTTTGGTCTGTGTGATTCCGGCCACTGCCAATTTACCCAATACTATTTCAACACCTTAGGTTCCCATTTGGCGGAAAACTCAGCGTCTGACTGGGTCAGAGATCGCAGATTCTACCTGACCTAAAAAGCCTTGGCTCGCCAACTTACAGTGCAAGGCTCGGCGCCATCCGTTATCAATTGCACTCGTTCCTGTTGCATGTCCTCGGTCTGGCAACCTGCGTGAGCTTCGAGTCTGAGCAGGAGGGGGCGGGAGAAACAACACTCTCAAATATTTGAGACCGGGGTAGCTGCAGGTCAGAGTAATGGGCGTGGCAAAAGGTGGCATGCCGAAAGCGGAATGCTACAACAGAAAATAACCCCTAACCCTAACAAATTAGAAAGACCTTTATCCTTTACCTCTAGCAATGTAATATACTTAGCATTTGTTGAATGATATTTCAATATTTCTCTTTTTTTTTCTCAGTTTACACATTTTATTTATTTAAAAAAATAAATAAATAGCACAAGCACGCTATTCAAGCATAATGTTTTATGAAAAGTTTTCTATTTTCAAATTATTTCAAAATGTTATTTATTCCTTTGAGGACAATGCTGAATTTTCAGCAGCCATTACTCCAGTCTTTAGTGTCACATGATCCTTCAGAAATCATTCTAATATGCTGATTTGGAGCTCAAGAAACATATCATCATATTATTATTATTAGTGTTGACAACAGCAACAACACTGTTATACATTTACTTTTTCAGGATTCTTTGAAAGTTTTTCATTTCATTTACTTCAATACATACACTCATATACATATACTCAAAACGTAGGTTTAGTGTCCATGTTTGCAGTTAATGTGACAAGCTGCACCAGTGGTAACTCAGCCAGGACACCTGACCTGTGTGACACATTGTTAGTGAACACATTCACTAAAAATGTCCTTGAGACCCATCGTTTAAAAACAATTGTAAAAATGGCTAAAAAAAATAAAGAGATTTCTGGGTAAAAAATTCAGAATTTTTGCAGGTCACACTTTAACATTTCGTATCTCATGCAATTATATTCAGATATTTTAAGTGTGGCTTAAGTGTCCATTGTGTCCAAATAATTTTTGGGGTCAGTGTAGGTCCACATAACATGTGGCAGGGTTCAAATTGAGTTGCAGAGGCTGTTGACTGCCTTATTTGTTTGTCTCTTCACTCCTCTTGAAGAGCAATGTAGTACTTCTGGTGCTGCGAATTACAATAAAACGGCCTGGCTTAACCCCATATTGTCTTGTAATCATCCTTAGTATTTGATTTGACTTGATACTGCTTTTTTCACTCTTTTTTTCTCTCCCATTCTTTATCTTTCCCTTGACTAATCCAATAAGGTGAAAAGACTGTGGAAAAGAACATGTGACTGTAATACTGCTAATAGTCTCTTTATCGAATCTCATCTTTGTCAGTGAATTTAATGGGGTGTAATGGGCTGTAATAATATGTCCTATGCCTCTGCCTCCCCTGCACCCTTCCTCTCGCCTTTTCTTTTTATCTTTGGTTCTTTTTCTGGCATTGAGTCTGTGATATTCCTTTGTATGATTTGACTCATCAAAGCCTTGATGTATGTCAGATCCAAACAGCATGGCTGTAAGATGATTGTACTCTACGTTTTCTAAAAGTTTGTGTCAGAATGTTAAAATGCTTGTTTGTGCATGTCTGGGTCATGATGTCCAAGTCGTGTTCATCTATTCACATGTGTTTTAAGTGGATTTTTTCTGTTTGTAGGATTTTGGGATCGAGGCTTTTACCATGAAAACCAAGATTTGCGGAGCTTCTTGGGTACCAGATACACTAAAGTTCCCATGATGCACAGATCAGGTAAGTTCCATCAGGCTTTTATCATTGAAATACACAACAAAGACATCCAAACTACCAAATGTTTGTTTTCCCAGGCGTATACCGTCACTATGAGGACATGGAGAACATGGTACAGGTGTTGGAACTGGGCCTGTGGGAAGGGAAGGCCAGCATGGTGCTGCTTTTGCCCTTCCATGTGGAGAATTTGGCTCGGCTGGACCGTCTGCTGACCCAGGATCGGGTTGAGAAGTGGTTGGAGAAACTGAACTCCACTAGTATGGCATTATCCCTCCCGAGAACCAAGATAAGCAGCACCGTCAGTCTACAGGTAATAGTCTAAATATTGTACATATCACTTCCTACACGGCCATTATGAGTGTGTGAAATACAATTTCAAAACATTAAGTTATAGATAAATATTCTTAACATACAATGTAGATAAAACTAATTTAGAAAGCTAATGGAAGATATCCAGATATGACGTTAGCATAATGAGAACGAACCATAGGTCATAGATTATTTTCATTCAGTGGGAAAGCTTTTTCCTTTTAATGGAAATTGTGTTTGCAATGAAATTGCAGTCAGGCTTTAGAATGCGGTTTTATGTGTCTTAGGACACTGAGCTATGGTCTTTATTCTTTAAAACATTCCTCAGATGTGCATTGTAAGTGCTTCCATTGCCATCTTGTGCTGCTCTCTTTTTGAACACCAGCAGGCAGCATGTTGCTTTATTGACCTGTGATCAGGAAGTTTTTTACAGAGTTTTTTTTTGTCATAAAAAAGGAAAAGATTTTGTCTTTTAATGAATATATCTTTTAAATTCACTCAATATTTTGCCATGTCATTCATTTTGGTCCATTTTAAACCTTATCAAAATTTAGGTAACAAAAGCATTATTTTAATTAAAACTAGATTTAATTGCTTGTCTCTGCAAAATCAATTTTGTTTGACTGCCAGAGTTAAGACTTTCTTGTCTTAGTGGTTCATATGTGGTTACTAAGGTGTTTTAGGTGGTTGCTAGGTGTTAAGTTTCTATGTGATTTGTGTTCTGCTTCTGCCTTGTGAATCTGGTAAGTACTGTCATTATCTAACACGTTAGTGTAGATTAAAGTATCTTCCAAAAGTTTGGGGTCTTTACAGTTGTTTTTTTTTTTTTTTTAGAAAATAATAAGGCATGATTGCAAAAAAAAAAAATCTAATAATACTTAAAATATCAGAATTTCCACTAAAATATTAAGCAGCACAACTGTTTTCAACACTGACTACGTTTACATGTGCACGAATAATGCGATTACTTCCAATAATCAGAGTAAGGACTTAATCGCATTATGATGTTTACATGTCAAGAGCAAAGCTCTTCACTCCCATTTACATGCAATTTCCATTATTATTATTATTAGCTATGAATTGTGGTTATTTTTTTACTGCCATTATTCATGTATCCCACTGCACATCACAAATGATGGATTAATTTATTTACGTCCAATGCACAACACGTTTGTATGGTTGTATTCCATGCTTTTTCGGTGCCATAGAAATGTGATGGCAATTCGTTTGCCTACACTGCCGTCGCGTTCTACTCGCCGTTTCTGGATGAATTTAAGGAACAGATGGTGGCAGCGAGTTGTGTTTTCCCCAGAAATGCGATGCTTTCTTTCCCGCCATCGTTTCTAATCTGCGTATTATTACAGGTGCACGTCAAGTCATGTATGTCACAAGCACATGCGCACTTTGGTCAGAGCGGCAATACTGCGATTAAGGTGTTTACATGCCTGTATATTTCGATTAAAATCGGCGTACGATTTTACTATGTTAATGCGATTATGCTTGCTGCGATTATGAGATATTTGCCAAAATCTCATTATAATAGCATTAAGAGGGTGCATAATAAAAATAAATGTTACTTGAGCAGCAAATCAGCATATTAGAATGATTTCAGAAAAAGGATCGTGTGGCACTGAAGTTTCTGGAGTAATGGCTGCTGAAAATTCAGCTTTGCCATCATAGGAATAAATTATAATTTTTTTTGTTAGGTTGTTAAGTTGTAATAATATTTCATAATATTACTGTATTTATTGTAGTAAACAGCATACACTCACACACCAAACATTCTAATTTAGTTAAAATAGACCTAAAAAAATTTACATAAAATGCAAAATTGGCATTTTCACTATTGGTGTGTCTAATTTCCATTTTAGTGCATAACATCAAAGTATCATAAGTTTATGTTTACCACAGACCACGTTTTACTTATAAATTGAAAACCCCATTATAAAAACCCATAGGAAAATCTCGAGGGAACCCATGGCAAATTAGTCTTCTAGGTTTTGACATCACAACTGCAGCACTCTATTCTTGTTGTGCAATATAGACCTCAACAGAAAGTCGTCCTATAATTGCATGCCTTAATCCCTCTAAGTGTTTCCCATACAGACTAATGACTCTCCTGGCATCCCAAACATTTGTGCTCCTTCAAGGTCTGGGCCCTCAGAGAGATGACATCCTGGCTTAGAAGCTCAGCAAGAGTCTCTCCAGCAGCTCGGCTACAGGAATTAGCCTGGACTTAGACAGCAAAGAGTGACAGAGTTGTAGAATAGCACAGATGGTTCTGTCTGCACTGCTGAACAGATCTGGATTTGGACGACAGAGAGTGACAGTGACTGTGTTGGGCGTGTTTGGGCTGTTGAGTTCAGTGGATGAGACCGTGTCTGGTATGATTGGCTTGTGGGTAAGCACATTTGGTTTCTTGCGGTGGGTGGAAATGTCAAGTGCGCCTTCGTAGTGCTCTTCTCTTGGATTGTGGAGGTGAAGTGTTTTGGAGCTTGATGAATGATTTTGTGACATATGCTGCTGGCTCTCTTCTTTCCTCGCTCACTTCAGTCTTGTTTCTCCTTCCTCGTCTCTTTCCTGTCTCCCTGCCTGTTCTTCGTATTCGTCTTTTCTCTCTCCAGCTACCGCTCCGTCCTCCCTCTCTCAGCGTCTGACCTCAGCTCATCTATCTCCTGCCCAGAGTCCACTGGTTCCTCCCACTCTCCCTTTCTTTATTCATCACTTCATCCGCCACCTCAATCTTTGTGTCTTGCCCTCTCATTTTCTCTCGTTTCTAGCTGGTCAGAGTCCCTGTATCTCATCTTCTGTCTCACCCCTTTTCGTCTCTCGCACTCGTTCTTTGTCAAACACTCCTTTTCTCTCTTTACGTCTTTCATATTTGCCTGCACTTCTTTCTGCAGTCTTCTTTTCTTTTGTTTTTTCTGTCCTCTTATATCCGTGAAATATTTATTTATTTGATTCCTTATTTATATATATTGATCACCTGTGACATTCTTGACATTTTCTGTGGTCAAAAACTACTTTCTTTTGCTCTCAATTTTTTTTTGGATGCAACTAATTGTACTATACATACTAACTAATGTATTGTATGTATAGTAGAGATGTGCATCTCCGACTCCGATACGATACGCATCTCGATGCACAGCCAACGATACGATACATTAAAGATACATATGAAGCAGCTACCGATGCGATATGATTCACCCCGTTACGATGCAGTGCGATTCGATTTCGATTCGATTCAAAATAATGCGATTCGATGCAATACGATGCAATGGAGAAAATATGATCACTTTTAATGCCCCGAGGCCTGTATCATAAGGCTTATTTCAGTTAGTCTGACTCATTGTCAAATGATTTGGTTCCATAAAGCAAATTTAACATGGGCCTAGATCAAGCTTAGCAACTGTGGCAACTTATGCTGGGAAACTGACCTGGTCTAAAGCAGGTTAACTGTCAGACTAAGCGGAGTTCCTCTAACACTGACCAATAGGAACCCAATGATATTACTACTCTCTCACATACTATTATTTGACTTTTTTTTTACAGTTTCTAGTAGGACTGCACGATTAATCGAATGCGATTGTCATGCGCATTTTGATAGTAATGCCGGTTCTGTAATCAGCAGGAAATCATCATCACGAACTTTCAGATGAAGCAGAATTTACTACACATAGCTGTAGTTCACAGACAAGTTTTTATTGCTTTTTATTGCGCGATTCTGAAATCGAAGAAATCGTTCGCGATAATGACAGCTATTTGCACAGCTTCTCAGTGAACTACGGCTCTGTGAAGTAAATGCTGCTCCATCTGAAAGCATGTGAAAATACCACATTTAATAACATATTTTTACTCCAAACTCACTTCATAACATCAGTCGAGTGTTTGAAATAAAGCCTTCTGTGAGATAATGTGGCTTCTTACATAGAATAAGGCACGCAACATATTTCATAGTATTTAAGCAGTGATAAAGGCATTGTATTATAAATATACTTTATTTTAATGAAAATCATAATAAGAACTCTGATAAACCGTATATTGCCGCAGTCGTGTGTTTATTAGTCACGTTGAATCAATGAAAGCAGTTGAATCTTCTGTTGTTTATTCAGCTGCAGGAATAGGCATTTTCTGGGTTTTTTCTGCGAGGCGTATTTGGAGTTTCAGCGCGAGAGCGCCCTCTGGCCTTTGGATGGAGATTTACTGCTGATCACAGAACCGTGCTTCACTGAAAGATACGCATGACAATCGCAGATTCTGTAGAATCGAGATCTCGATTCCATTTCGATTGATCGTGCAGCCCTAGTTTCTAGCCATGCAGCCTTTCTCTCTGGTTTTATGACGGCTGTACCTTTTATAGTTTGCAGAACAGATAGCAGAACATTAGAACATTACAATCTAAAATGGCTCTTTAAAGCATTAAAATAACTAAATAAAAATTAAAATAAATAAAGAAAATGATTATATTTTAACTGCTATAAGAAACACACATTAACTCATTTGAGCTTAGTAATTAGTAGCCTACTAGCTTACATTTGATTTACCTATTACAATAGTCACTTTACAGTTACTGCTATCATAAAAATACACTTATATGTAGGTTTAAAATTCTACAAAAGACACATTTAATGTCCAACAACAAATATTTTAGCAAAATGTATATTTTACTCAGAATTATTGCGTTCCTATTCGATTGCACTCTGTCTGTTTAGCGTGCATGCGCGCAGCAGCGCTCGTTCACTTACATCAGCCTCGCCCACTCCTGACAGCAAAATTAATACGTTTGCGTGACTTTCTGACATTTACAGATGGAAAAATATACCTGTGACATGTCAGTTATGCACTGAGGAAAACACAATGTCTCAAACAGCACAGATATATTCGGTGGATCGATTTGATCCATGATCGATCATTAAGGGCTGCTTAAGAATAAGCGTGCACAAATTAGTGAGATTGTGTGAACTTAATTTGTCATTTATGGAACCGCTTTAGCCCCGATTGATTTGTTAGGTTATTTCAAGTCAGGTTTTGGTCTCTGTAGTGTTGTGGTGATGCATCACAATCACGCAGCAGTAAGGATGGGCGATACCTCTTATTTTATTTTCGATCTGATACCGATATTTTCAAGCCCAGTATCGTCGATATCGATACCGATACCTCTAAACTAAACTGCTCTGTTAAATTATTAAAAGAATATAATCAGTAATTATACTCACTTAATATTAGATTTTAAAGCCATGATTTTTAACATTTCATAAGCTTTTTTTGTTTACGCTGTCAGAAAATATATGAAAAATATGCTATAATTGTATTTTAGCCCTTTACTGGGGCAGTAACCTCAAAGGTGCAACTATACCTCCAAAAGGGAGCATATTAGTACCGTTCAAGTATGCATGCTTTAAGAGTAGATAAGTTACAAAGGCGCACTTTTGAGGGTACCTCATGAAAAATAAACATGGTGTTACAGTATTACCATGCTAAATTTGTGGTTACGGCAGTTATACTACAAATACTGTGGTTACTGTAATAAAATCATGGTCAATTTTTGTAAAAGGCTGCCAGGCTGTTGTACCCCTAAAGCTGAAACTTTAGCACATTTTGTTCTGACAGATTTATTAACAGCAATTACAGAACATACAATCCATTTGAACTTTTAACAACCAGTTTAAATAAATTTACTTGCACAAACTAGCCAATTAAAAATAAATATTACATGTACACAAAGGTTTGGGGTCAGTAAAATTTTGTAATATTTTTGTAAGTCTCATGCTCACCAAGGCTGCACTTATTTGAAAAAAAAAAAATTATATTATAAAAAAATTTCAGCATCATTACTCCAGTCTTCAGTGTCACTGTGAGCGAAGCGTCAGCAGCGAATGCTGTCTGTGATTGATTGGTTCTGTCTTACAGCATTTGCGTGTGTTCCGATGAGCAGGAGAAATGGATCTATCCAACACAATTATTCGATAATATAGTCTATTTTTCCACTTTTTATGCACCAAATTTCCCGATAAATAAATACAATTAATGGTTAAAAAATGCACTTTAGAATCGATATTTTTATGTGAGGATCGATCCTTTCGATACAACATCAGTATCGAAAGTATCGATACTTAAGGATCGATCCGCCCATCCCTATGCAGCAGCAGTGATTAGAGAACGTGCTTGAGAGTTGAACAGTTTAGAGAGGAGAAATCAATCCACATATAAAATATTGGTCACTTTCTAAACAATAAAAGTATAGCGCATCCACTAGTAATTATATATTAATAATATATTAATTTTTTACCGATGCAAATATGTTAGAAACGATGCATAGCGATATAAATGCCAACTTGTAGCCGATGCACACTTCTTAAACCGATGCATCACATCGTTAAATTTTTATGCCGATGCACCGAGCGAATCGGGGAATCTTCCCATCCCTAATGTATAGATGTGTGTAGTCATTATGACTTATTGTTTTTTGTGAATTTCATGATACAATTGACAATTTAAAAATGTGTTTTTGCTTATTTCTACAAAGACAACTTTTTGTGACTTCCGATTCAAATTGATAAGAGTACGTCACATATGGTAGAGGTTAGGGATGTAACGATTCACTCACGATGCGATATGATTCACAATACTTACTTCATGATTCGATTCTCTCATTATTATAATTTTTTTTACAAAATGAGATTTAAGACAAATTATAAATGAAAATCTGATCTTTTATTATTTCTCAGACAAAATGCTGCACATTTCTTTGTTAATCTGAAATATGTCAAATAACAAAACTAAATTGAAATTAAGACAAATCCCAAATCAAATAAATATATAATACAAATAAAGGAATTCTCTTCGTGTAAAGAAATTAAGGCTTTGCCTGTGCTCTTTCCTTTTTGAAATAAGAGGTTACCACTGCATTTTAATGAAAATCCAAACAAAAATGCTACACACATGCAGCATGAGTAGTTTTTTATTTAAATTAGATTGTATGATTTCGAAATTTGAAGCAAAAACAGAATGGTCTGACTTTAGCTTTGTGAAACATACTACTAAAAACATACCCGCACGAAACAAATTCCAGACGGGCTGAATGAGATGCAGATTCACTCTCTGACAGCAGGTGGTGCTTATGGAACAGCGGCAATACAGCGTTTCCTTGGTTACCGCTGTAAAATAAAGCAGCTCTGCATTTATAAACACTTTAATATGCATTATACAGAGGCAAGATGAAAAGAAAATACCATCTAAACTTTTGTGAAGACAGTCAGTTCAGTTCCCCTCAGAGATACATTTATATAAACTCCCACCTGTATCGCAATTTGTTTAACATCTCAACCGACTTGAATCGTCTCATGTTTGTATCGATTTTCATCCAGCTCATCATAGAGGTAAAATATATATGATTTTTATGTTGTTATTTGTTTATTTATTTTCCAAAAAAATTATATGTATATTTTTTCACACATAGATATGGGAAATATGCTGTAATTATATATTATAAGTATGTATATTATATGTATTTTTATACATCATAAACAAAATTTTGAAATAAATATACTTAATCATAATATATAATCTTATATCATATATAATTGTATTTTCTTTCATTTCAGTTTTCATTTAAATTATTATTTTTTTTTTTATAAACAGCCAGTCTGATCAGTCTTTGGAAAGCAAATGAAACACATGGTCCTATTTAATTTGGTGAAAATAAATATGAAAAAGTCATATTAAACATATTTCTTCAATATTTAAGTGCATGGGATAACACTTAGAGCCCTAAAATTATGTTTGATAAAATCTTTGTTTTTCTTTCAAATTTTTTGCTGACCCCCTTGCACTTCCTTATGGCCCCCATGCGTTCCTACTCCCCAGAGCCCATATTGAAAACCCCTGCTCTAGGGTCACTGTCCCAGGGTAATGCTGCAGGTAGATGGCAAACCGTCTAAACCACAAGGTTGGTTTTATCCTTGTGGTAGACAGCAGATGTCAAGAAAAATGTCAAGAGGAGTGCAGTGACAGAAAAGGGTAAGAATTTAGAGAAGCAGAGGTTAAAAGACACAGATAGAGTAGAAAAAGGTACAACAAAAATGACAGTTGTTGAACTAGACAGGTCAAGCGTGGCACAACCATTCCCAGGACGCATAGAGAAGTGAACGGTCGCTGTAATGCGGGACAGCGTTTTGTTAAAGTTTTGTAATGTCAGGCAAGAAATATAAGCACCCACATGCCATGTCCGCTTATGCAGCTCTGCTCAGAAGAACAAGATTTTGACATTAACATGAGCGGTTAGGATGCCCAAGAGAGACCTAGAGGCTTGCTTTAAAAGAAACCCACCGACAGCCCAGACAAGACTCCCTTTTTTGTACTTGCTGTGTTCACATAAGTGATGACCCAGCGTGCGGAAAGAGGCCGAAAAGTCCTGCCATGACTGCATGACATGAATAGAGCTGTATTACTTCTCTGACAAGTTCTCCTGCTGCTCCCTCGCTCTCCACATCTTACTGCTCTGTGTCTGTTTCTCTGCTCTTTCATGCTCTCATCTAGCTTTTTCTTTTTTCAGCCACACACATACACACACTCTTTCTTGTAGTATCTGAAGAAATATCACTGTAGGTCAGAGACACTTGATTCCTCCACTTTTATATGGGCAGTGACAGAAGAGGCGCGCTGAGTGCAGCTTCCCTCTCCCTCTCCAGTCGGGTCGAAGTGAGCAAACACAGCCTCCATCTCGAGGCGTTAATAGCATTTCCACCTTTTATCTATCATCTCGCCTCAGAGCCTCAGCCTTTAACATGGCCGCCAGACACTGTCACTCTCAAGTCGCTCTAGGCCTTCTGTCATGCTCCCGCATGGACCTCTTCGGTCTCGGGAGGAGCTGCCATTATCCTGATTTCCAATCCGTGCGCTTGCGTATGCACTAATGTAGCTGTGCTGCGTGGCTACGGGGGCCCGGCTCGGGGCAGGATGACCTAAATTGGACTGACGTGCAGCTGGAGAGGTGAGTGGTTGTGAGGGAGGTGAAATGGGGTTGAGATGCTGGAAAGAGAGAAAGAGACATAGAAAGGGCAGGAGAGCGGGCGAGCCAGATAAAAATATCCGCTCTAGTGGTGAGGCAATGGGGCCGGAGCTCAGGACCGGTTAGTGCCAGGCGATAGCGGCTAACAAGAGATTTAGTCTGGACTCCATAACGAGCATGAGGGGTCGAGGGGTCACCGTCTGCCTGATGCCTGGCAAACACACACAGCCAGACACACTGACCTTAAGAGTCTGACACAGGGATACAGAGAAAACACACACACATGCGCTTACTGTGCCAAGGCCTGTGGATGCCAGTGTGGCTGTAATTGGATTGCTCAGTTCTCTGTGTGTGCCAGAGAGACAGAGGGAGTCAAGCTAGCATACACACACTCGTTGATGAGGTCATGAAGTGGATATGGTGTGTATGCCAGGACTTGGGACAAGTCTGTTGTAATCAGACAAGTGTTTTAGAGCACAGTACCATGCCGTGAGAAAATGCTTATTTGTAATCTCATACAAATATTGACATATCCTGTTTTATTGAAGTTTGTGGCTGTCTTGTAAAAACCTTTCACCACATCTGCCAAAAGCAAGTCAATTTATATTATTATTTGTCATAAATATTTCTTGCTAGCTATGAAACTGTATTCTATTAATTCCACTAATGATTCTTTTAGTGCTTCTGAAGGGGAAAAAAATGGAAATAAAAGTTTTTTTTTTGTTTTTTTTACTGCCCTCATCGGTTTGTTGCCAAATGATGAGATAATTTCAGTTGTCGACAGAGCAGATATAACAAATCAGAAATAAAAGTAATTATTGTAAAATACTTTTTATTGAGGCACACAAGTCATAAATGCAATCTAATAATTTGCCCTAACTATCCATTAAATAAAAATAAACCAAAAAAGGGTAACTTGTGCGTTAATTTTTTTTGAATTCAAAATAATTAAATATTTTGAAATCACTGAATCATTCATCATTGATTCATAATTGATCATTCATACTTGATAAAAAAAAATGAAAATTCTGTGATCAGTTACTCTCATGTCATTTCAAAGATATTAAACATTTTATGAAACACACATGAAAATATTTTTAATGAAACATAAGGGATTTCTGTCCCTCCATTTGTAGTCTGTTACATCAAAACTTTGACACTTTAAAAAAGTTAATAAATACATCCATATGAATCAAGTGGTTTAATCCAAGTCTTCTAAAGGAACACGATAGCTTTATATGATGAACAGATTTAATTTAGACTTTTATATACGTATAAGCTTTGATCCAACATGCAGCTGACTCTAGGGCAGTTTCTTCGTGTGTGTTATTCATGAGCTGTATGTTTTTGTAGTTGTGTTTATTGATGTAGGCGCCTGAATTATACTACAGTATAATGCAGAGTTTGCTTAAAAAATTGAGCGCAAGGATAGGCTGCATTTAGAAAACTTTGGCTTGAGAAAGAAACAGACAGGAAGACCGAGTGAGAAGAGAAGAAAATAGAGACGCTCCATTTCCACCCAATGAGCAGCATTAGAGGTGAACCATGTTTACACAGCCCTCCTCCTTGCTCCATCTCTCTCCCTCTCTCATTTTCCTCCATCTGCCCATCACATTTACTGCATTAGTTGGGAGTCTGTGTGCCATATTACTACATGATATTTATTAGCCTCCTTTCATCTGTTTCCAGTGCAGAAACTAGTGTACTCCTCTGCAGACCCATCACTCAATCCCAGCTGCCTGCTGGGCATGTCTCCTCTCCACAAACGTGTCATTAATTCATTTGGGGCTCACTGCACCTAGGGAGGGTTTACCTGTTTTTCCTTCGGGGCGTCCTGTGAGCTGCATTGGATTTTGTAGAAGTGAAGTGCAAAGCTTCACTAGCTTCAAATGACTCAAAGCTAATAGCTGTGTGGCATCTTAGAGATGTGGATTAAGTGAATATGCGAAATGAGCATTTTTCATCCGTCAGGCCCTGGGGGCTTCTAGGGTGAACACTTGCATGATGACAGCCCACGTTGAATATTTAAACGCTGATTGTTTTTAAAAAATGAAGTGACCTCAGCAAATCTGCACATCCCGAGAGGTGTCGCCATCCCAAGGAGAAGGAGCGAGACAAAGAAAGAGGGGTGCTATTTATAGAGCCTGTCACAATGCAGGCTGGGAGATGTCTGCTAATGTTGCATATGACTTTAATTGCTGGAGACAGCGTTGTCGTAGTAACACACGGCACCATGTCACCATCGTGGCAACAAGCTGCTTCGGGTCAAGGCTATGCGGCCCAGGAGTGAATCTGCGTCTATAAGTGCCGGAAAAACCCTCGGAGACAACACAGAGAATTAATTAAGGGGAAATAAATTTGCCCAATGCGGTGTCAGCCCATATAGCGAAGACATACAGCCATGAGAGAGGGTGAGAAAGCCTCAGGCAGTATGCATGAGGATGAGGATGTGGAGAAGCCAAAAATCTTCTATGCAGATCATTCCTTCATTATACTAGTTAGGGACAACAGCACTGGGGCATTGCTCATGATAGGTGCACTGGATCACACTGATGGCCCTGCAATTCACGATGAGCTATAGAACCAAAGTACTTCACCCTCCGGCACTGACAGTTGGCTGAAGAGTCTGAATGGCTGACCTGCGGGTATTGACAATAAACTGATCTACTTATCCACTGCAAATCCACTGTCTTACACCTATTGGTCTTATGCGCTGACACGTTACATTGTACTTGTAATACAGATATGAAAGAGCTTAGGATAGGATGTGATTAAACTGATATATAGACCTGCACTGAATCTGCTCCCACCAAATTCTGCAGAAGGCATGGCAGATTTGTACAGAATTTGAATGTTTTACTCAAATTCTGTGTATCCCTGCAACTTGTTTTTATTAATTAAAAGTTTGGGTTTAATAAAGATGTCAGCTGCCTTTATGAGTGAAATAGTCACATCTCTGTTGAAAGAGGGTCACATCAGATTAGAGATGTTTAATTTATCAGTTTTGGTATTTTATTTGTGCATGCTGATATCTGTATATATTTTTTATAACACTTGCTGTCTTCTTACACTAATAAAATAAACTAGTAGTTTATCAATGTATCAATTAAAAAAAAAATTTACCAATGCAATTTATCAGTTATTGACCATAATATTAAAATAATTATTGGCTTATCAGTATCAAAACATTGTGGATCCCTAGTTTATAGGTTGGTAAATAAAAACAAGATTAGAAAAGGGAACTTTTATTATGATTGTTTTCTATATGTAGTCAAGGATTCATTCAAGCCATCAAACTACAAAAAGACAGACTTGTTTCTGAAAAATTGCCTATAAGTATCTTCTAGCCTATTTGTGTGTCCCTCAACAATGAGTGATTGTTTTTTTTTAGGCCAAATTAAATAGAATTATATTTGAATTTAATATTGTATGTCAGCCACCTGTGTCCAGTCACTTGATGTTTATTTTGCAGTGTTACAATTTGTAGCCCTACCCAGTGAAATCTCAATGGTCCAAAATCCTGTTCCAATCAGTGTGCAGATTCTATGTGTGCCTAATGATGTAGTTACATATGAAAGACCCAGTGTGAAGTGCTTGTGGTCAGTTAGGACTCCAGTGAATACACTAGTACAGTACACGTGTTTCTATGTCTGCAAGCCATTCACAGCAGAGACACTGACTGACAGCAACACTCACAGTGATAGACGTGCACTGCGGAGAGATCGTCAGTGGGAAGCTCTGGAGCCAATGTGGCGGGTGTCAACTACACTCATATCGACACACTGACACAACTCATTCCCACTGTAAGGAAAACCACCATGGTGACAGCCGAGTGAATGCATGTTGATGCTGAGATGCTAGTACAGACACGGTCACCGTGATTTTGCCAAGTAAGACATGTTCCTGGATCAACATCTTTTGTTGATCCTGGATCAACATTAATGTCCAAAAATGCAGACTTAACCCAATCCTCACTCCTAAACCTAACCTTACCCATAATTTATTCCTAAAATCAGAGGGAAATAATCGCTGATTAACAAGGGTGTAGAAGCACCTAATCATGATTGTAAGCCTAAAACTGACATTTCCGGAAAAGTTCTCTCAATTCTGATTGGTTAATTGGAATGATGTTCCAGGATCGACAAGGATGTTGATCCAGGAACATGTTGTACTTGGTCAAATCACGCTCACACACCACACACTCTTACACTGCAATGCAAAGTGACTCCAACCGATGTCGACATGTAAACACCAGGGGAGCCTACAGGATTTTATCTGAGGGTACACATACGGAGGGGATTTTTGCAAAAAATTATAAAGTTTAATTCAATATATGCTAATGTTAAAAATCCAACTTGGAGAGATGTTTTCATTTTCTATAATATATCAAATATTTTGCACTTTTTTAAAAGATTTGAGACTTGTGACCACATGATCAATGAGAGCAACAGTACACCTCCGCAGAATGAAAGAGTCTCTAGATGCATTTTAAACCTTTTAAGACCGACATGAATGTAGCAAAAAGCAATGAAATAGTCATCCACCCAGACATCCATCTGGAAATGTTCATATAGGACAACAGTGCAGGTGGACACAAAAACACTTGAAGCAAATGGCTGTTTATTCACATGACCGTTACATTTTCTAAAAGTTACCTATCCAAAAGTAGCTTTAATTGTAGGTGAATATCCAGTTCATCCAGCACTGATAATTAACTGACTGAAAAATCGCTTCAGATAATTCTGAGAGAGAGCAGTCCAAATTAATGCAAATCAATTCAGACCGTTTTGCAAACCTGTTTGGTCAGTTCAGTGAAAAGAAAGAACTGACTCAAAAGAATAATTATTTTATAATTACAGGAATAGTTCACCCAAAAATGAACATTTTCTGAAAATCTACTCACCCTTAGGCCACAAAAGATGTAAAGGCATTTGATTCATCATTGGGGCATATTTGGAGAAATTTTGCTTTACTTGTTCACCAATGGATCCTCTGTAGTGAATGGGTGCCATCAGAATGAGAGTTCAAACAGCTGATAAAAACATCACAATAATTTGTTAAAAACCCGCAGCTTATTGCTTCACAAGACATTAATTGACAGACTGGAGTCATGTGGAATACTTAAGGATTATTGTTATGTTTTACCAGCTGTTTGGACGCTCGTTCAGACGCCACCCATTCACTGCAGAGGATCCTTTGGTGCACAAGTGATGTAATGCTAAATTTCTCCAAATCAGCTCCAATGAAGAAACATACTCATCTACATCATGGATGGTATGTTTGGGTGAACTATTCCAAAATCTTTCTCAGGTCAGTCGATGAGCTCATGGTAGGCACAGCTGTAGGCTCCACTGGTAAACATTTTAATGTCTAATAGTAAAGTTTTTATTTTAAGTTCACAGTATGTCTTCACTCATTCATCTGAAAGATGTCACCTAACCTCGGCTCTGACACAGGAAGGTCCCCATTCTCATTCTCTTTCTCTCTCTTCTGCCTCACTTCATCTCTCTCTTAATTTCTCCCACTATAACTGATTCATCTTCCTGGACAGACTTATCGAAGCTGATCAGGGACTCCAGAAGAGCAAGGGCTAAGCTGGCTTCATTGTCCCCGCCCCGGGATCACTCTCTCAGGGTTGCCGGATCACTCACATGGGCTGTTATTGATGGGGTAGGCTTAATGCTAATGCGCTAATGACTCGAGACTGCCATCAACAACGCAGACAGATGAAAAACCTTTTAATGCCTGCCGCAATCAATGAAGGCCACGGCCGTACCACTTCATACCAGTTAAACGGTGTACAAATCATGCAATGATTTTGCAAGAATTTACATGTTTATTTTGGACCCCAGCATTTGTTGACTTTTCATTGTTATCACTGTGGTAAAAGGGAAAGCTCAGCTGTGCATGACTGGGGAAAAATTACTGTACTGTAAAGTAGTGTTTTGTAGAAGTGCTTGTAATATGGCTTTGGGTTATAGCGGTGCATTAAATATACTTAGTGCACCCAAAAATTAAATAAATAAGCAAAACAAGTAAAAATTTAATATCTTAAGCCAAGAAAGCTGTTTGCAAGGTGAGTTTACAAGGTAATAAGGCTTTTAATGTTTCAATGAGCGTATTAATCAGCTTCCATTTTACGGAGTGCTTTATTCATTTAAATTCTCCAGAGTAGAAACCTCTCAAAAAAACATAAAACGAAACAGAATAACTATGTTATAAAAAATGGTCAAAGTACTGTATCCTTATCCAACCACTGTCCGATAATTACATGAGCGACTGGGCCAGAGATATTAAAAGCAGCTGTGATATTGGAACCGTCAGGCCTTTTAAGCGCAGACACTAATTAAGGGCCGCTGGAAAATGTGTGGTGGCCGACTGATTTCTCATCCTCTCAGCGATGGTTCTTTCAGCCAATACCGCACATAAACACAAACTGTTAGTTTCGTCCCTTCGCAAATGAATTATTGAGAAATAAAAGGAACAAGTGGAAAAAAAGAGAATCCCCTTTCTGCCATTAATCTTAAAAAAAGAATGTCCCTACACAGCCATGTTTTATTAAAAGCTTTGAGGGCAGTTTTATTTGATTACCTCAGAATGCTTCGGTTCCCCGCGCTGGAAACACATTTTTAGAGGGCTATTATTTTTACAGACCGACTGTGTTTGCGGGTAAAAGGGGGTTATGGAAGGGCATAGATGGATTCTTTTAGATGGAAAAAAGTGTAAATGCATTGTACATTTGTCCACATAAGGAACATCAGATGTTTGGCCTTGTTCGTGATGAATGCATAATGTCAAAATGTGCCTGCTGCTACCGCTTCTACAAGGGCCCTGTGAACGCTGAACGCTGTGTGTGACGATGTTAAGAAATGAGTTACGTAATTATCCTCCCTGAAAACCACCAGAAGAATGTCATTATTCATTTGCAACTTCTAAAACTTTTAGAGGGACCCAGATGTTGTGTTCTGGCCATGACATAAGGCTTTCATAACCCTCTTGACTTTTATAAGCGTGTGTGAAACAGAACCCCGCATGTGAGCTTGTTTCCGCACACGTGTGTGAGCGTGTCTGTCCGTTTCGATGTATGGTCCTCATATATCATGTGCGTTGTGAACATAAAGCGTGCTGTGCTGCTGTCTCAGAGACTCTGAGGCCTGAGGCTGTGCAACGAGAGCACATTATTTTTGCTCAAGCTCTCATTAGCTTCAGCGCTGATTCATGCTCACATTCTATTTCAGTCAAATTCATTAAAATCCACTATGTGGCGTGTCTTCCTGCTGAAAGCTACTCACCCGTATGTATAGAGTGCTGCAGTGATGTAATTTTGTAGGCTAACCAGAAGTTAGCATATCACCCTGGTTCCCTCAACAAAAACCTAGTAAGGTTTTTCCATCGGCTTTTGGATTATTGCAAAAAAATAAGCTCTGTGACCAACAAATGCATGACTTTTTATCATGGTCTATCATGGTAATCTTCATACATGAACACAACTTTTATGAATTTTGAAGCTTAAATCTATTCGCTATCGCTATATAGGTAAGCTAAATGTAGGCTATAAACAAACTACACCATGGTCGCGTGACTTAGACGTTACTAGAATTAAGCTTCCGACAACTCTTTCACTGTTATTTAAGAAAAAATTTCCCTGAAAGTTTGAGTTAGAAAAGTTTGCAAGAGCACAATTAAAAACACAGTGAGGCTGTGGAAGCAGACTAGTGAGTAGATGAGTTTATCTGTTCGGTGTTGATGACAATTAATGTCCCCCAAAACCTTTGTAGTCATATTTAGCCACTTGTTAGCGCCCACCTTTTTCAAGACAATAGTGTGTTTGCACCTATCTCACGATTTGGTCAGTTATTGGAGATACTCTGATGTAAACAGTAGCATGGATTGCATGGTTAATGTACTACTGAAGACATTGTTCTACTAATTTATGATGTCTAAACCATGGAAAAAACCGTGTGGAAG